TTGTATGTAGTAAGTACAAGCTGCATGAAACCTGACTGTATAAGGTTTGAACCACTCACGCTGGGAAGAACCCCTTACTCTTTTTGATTAGTGTGTTGGACCACCACCAACCACTCTCAACCCCATGATTTGCCTCTCCAAATGTGGGAAATTGCATTTTTAAAGGCTTGAAGATCCTAAATTTGCCCCTGACACCCCCAAAAGATTTCGAGCGCTGTCCCCCAGGTCCAATCATGAACCTGGGCTGACAGAAAAAAATTAGCTAGCTAGAGCCCTGAACAACCCTACTGCCTAGTACTGGTAACCACAAGACCACCTTAGCATCTGACTGTTCTGAAGAACAATGGACTTAAGAAATGTGTGTGCCAGGAATATATTCGATATTGAAACTGGCGTTGAAAATTGTTGAGTGTATAAGCCATGCACCAGACTTACAAAACCTTTGTTTTTGTTTTTCAGAGTTCCAGAAGATTGCCATGGCAACAGCGATAGGATTTGCCATCATGGGGTTCATCGGATTCTTTGTGAAGCTCATCCACATTCCCATCAACAACATCATAGTGTGAGTACATCTCATGAGGACGTCCCAAATATGCAAATTATTGACATAACCAGCAACATTGCAGTTTATGTAATAGAGTGTTCCCAAATACAGTCAAACCTGTCTATAGTGGTCACTCAAGGGACTGACCAAAATTGACCACTATGGCCAGGTGACCACTATAGAGAAATGGCGGTTAGTTCCCCCCCCCCACCGCCAACGTGACACATGCTTTCAGTACCATTGAACAAAGATGTATTTATGTCTTTATTCTCAAACATATGAAAACATTCATTGCACAGGTAAGTCTCTTTTCAAATGTAACATTACATGTTATAATTCAATTGTTGTTCTTTTGCTTTAGTTGTGGGACTTAGAAAAAAAAATTATATATCAAAACTGCATGCACTCGACATGATACTCAGTTGATCTACTGGGACTATGAAACCTTCCCACTAAAATATACAAAATCACTGGTTGCCATTTACTGTTCTTGTGTACGTGTAACATCGATGTTACCTACAAAAATATTGAAAGCGAATCAAGCAACAAAGTTTCTGTCGACTCCAAGCCATGTTTCTTCCGACTGCAAACTCCTTTAATCTCCTTCTCACTCGCTGTCAGTTGAATCACATCCACCTTGTGGAATAAGTTCGACGTCTGTCTTTCCGCTTTTGCCATCGTTTCTCCGCAATCGCCACGTTACTAGTACCGTAAGTCGAAAAGTGGAAGAGAAATTATGACATCGCCATGTTTTTGTTCTTTGGTGAGTGCTTCGCATGACCGACATCGCCACAACGAATTCCAACCATGTAAACAAGATTTTTTGTACCAAGATGCTGTCCATTTAGTTAACAGCAAAATAATTGTTCATCTGTTGCCGTTTATTTTCCGTTTTTTGGTTATTTTTGAACATGAAAACGTAGCGAAAACTTTCCTTTGTTTACGGCTTGGGTTTCTTCCGGCGTGGGTTGTCTGCCTCTGCCATTATGCCAATGTGGTGGTCAACAAAAATAGTGCTCCTTTCAGGCTTACATATTTTGTAGAATATTCACTACAGACTTAAGTTTACGATGAAAAATAGTGTTAATAATGTATTCCAAATATTTTTGTAATGTAATCACGCCATTTGATGCTATAAAATTAAATAAAAGTCGGTACATCTACCTCCAAACCAATGGAGTCTTCCGATGACCCCAATTGACCTGACTGTTGTTGCAGCCTGCGCCATTTTGAAAAATCACGAAACGCATTTTCTCAGCCCAAATTTCTTGAATTATGCCCGTGAAAAAGGGAAGTTGGCGACATATTTATGCTTTTCAAGGAATCGAAAAATCAAATATGGATATTCGTAAGTTTTTTGTAAGGATGATTGCCGCAATCTTCGCCGAGTCCACTGAAAGCACCGCGGCACGCACGACATGGTGTTTCAGATATCAAAGACGTCAACACGAGCGACCGCAAAAATTTCGTGTCAAAATCAAGTTTTCCTTTATTTCATACACATCTGGAGTCTAATTTCAGTTCACATTTTAATAATGTAGCGGCCACAAAATTATCACAAGGCTTGATTGAACGTCCTAACGGCCGTAGCCCGAGGTCGGGTGGTGTTACGTACGTGGTGCTTAGCGGGTAACTGCCGGCCAGCCGTGACCGCTATCGGCGGTGTTGACAGCCGGCGGGACCGGAATGGGGTGACCGCTGACCGCGTTGAACAGTGACCGCTATATACGCGATTCTTAATGCTTACGTCAATGGGAAAAATTCAAGGGACCGGCAAAAACCGACCGCTATGGCCGGGTGACCGCAATGCCAAGGTGACCGCTAGTACAGGTTTGACTGTATTGTGGATTCAGACGATGTCTTCAGATGTTGGCGAGATTCTTTTGGCATTGGTCTCAAAGTGAAAGATTGTCTGTGTCATTCTGTTAAAGCTAACATTCCTCCTGCTGGTATATTACCTTCAACATATTTCAGAAACAGTTTTTTCCTTTAGATGGATATTCGTCTTGAGATCATTGTGGATTCAGACAACGTCTTCAGATGTTGGTGAGATTCTTTTGGCATCCGTCTCAAATAGTGAAAAATGTTCTGTGTCATTCTGTTAAAGCTAACATTCCTCCTGTCGGTATATTACTAGCATGTTTCAGAAAAAGTTATTTCNTCGTAAGTTTTTTGTAAGGATGATTGCCGCAATCTTCGCCGAGTCCACTGAAAGCACCGCGGCACGCACGACATGGTGTTTCAGATATCAAAGACGTCAACACGAGCGACCGCAAAAATTTCGTGTCAAAATCAAGTTTTCCTTTATTTCATACACATCTGGAGTCTAATTTCAGTTCACATTTTAATAATGTAGCGGCCACAAAATTATCACAAGGCTTGATTGAACGTCCTAACGGCCGTAGCCCGAGGTCGGGTGGTGTTACGTACGTGGTGCTTAGCGGGTAACTGCCGGCCAGCCGTGACCGCTATCGGCGGTGTTGACAGCCGGCGGGACCGGAATGGGGTGACCGCTGACCGCGTTGAACAGTGACCGCTATATACGCGATTCTTAATGCTTACGTCAATGGGAAAAATTCAAGGGACCGGCAAAAACCGACCGCTATGGCCGGGTGACCGCAATGCCAAGGTGACCGCTAGTGCAGGTTTGACTGTATGCAAATTAGATATGATAAAGAATTTACCCAAAAAAAGTGAAAGTCAGAAACAAAGATTGCTACTTAATTGTGCCATCTTTTCTCTTCTAGTGGCTCATAGTATGGACTGACTGGACAATCGAGTTAGCGATGCGGAGCAGCTAATGAGAAAGGAGGAAGAAAACTTCAGAAGAAGACGATGTTAAATCTACACCAGTATTTTTGATTCTCAATGTAATTATGACGTCCATGTAAAAATGCACTTGTAGCATCTTTTGTATGTTGACTACTGGTAGTCTTCTAGTGGTTCGTTAAAAAAACATATAATAGAATACAAGTGTAAAGTTGAACTTGTAGCCTTTTTTAACCTTTTAATTTACAGACACTCACAACTTTTGAAATACATTTGTATTTCAGGGACTCTCTGTAACAATGGCTCAAGTATTGTTGTTTCTAAACATTTTCATCAATTAGATATGGCATGGCGGAAAAGTTATTGTAATGCAAAGGTATTAAGTGACATTTTTTCCCAGGAACAGTAAGATCATATAGCTTGTTATGTAGCCTTCTCAAATAAACATATTTTGATTGAGAAAAGTTGGCATCTTTGTCCTGACTTTTTACTGTATGGGTGAAATTTTCCTCGGTTTGAAATACAACCTTCATATACAGGTTAGTTGCAGGTAAAGTTGAAGCTGTGAAGGTATTTCTAAGGTCTACCTGCATCTAACAATATTATACTAAAGTCCTAGGAAAAAATGTTGTGTTTCCTGACTGACCCTAGAAAAAACTGCTGATCCTATCCTTTTTGGGGGTGGACCCCTGCAAAGGACATAAATTTTCGAGCTGATCAACCTTTTTTTGCATAATTTATTTTTGCATGATTTTGGACAAAAAAATTGTTGCCTGCTGACAGTGGTTGACATGCCGAAAATGGTCAAAGATGTCTGTTGCCATGCCCGAAAGTGGATTGTAGATAAATAAGGAGACATCATTTAAAACTTTTATTTTACAAAGTTGTTCAATGACAAATGGATATTGTAATAGTTGGCAGTAAACTTGGCACAATATTGTTTCTTGTTAAACAAGGTTTATGATGTCAAAATTTGAAAATGTAGGAATCTTGTTTTTGGCCCGCCTTGTTTTTTCTATTTCGCCCTATTGCATTATATTTGGGGTCTGTGGAGGATGTCATCCATAAAATTTACTTGCTGTGGCCTTACTTCAATACTTGACTTAAATTACTGGTACAATCCACTTCCTTTTACTAGTTACTAACTATAGCACTATTACTCATCAAGGTACTTCTGGCTTTTTTTTTTAAATTTCCGCTGCCTTTCTTCTTACCTGGCGAAAACTGACACCAAAATGACGAATGTTATTTTGTTAAACCAAGGCCATTATGTAGAAAGTCAACTAGTTAACTTAATATAACTAAAGATCAACTAAAGTTTTATTTGAAATTCCCATACCATGTTTCTTACGTTTAAAGTATGACTGTATTTCCTGAATTTTGATTCTTCGAAAATTATTCTAGATAATGAAAATATTTACTCAAAGAATGACTTCATACCTACTTCCGGTCACAAAATATACGTAACGTTACGTCAACAAAACTCACGCCTGGGTGATACCATTGTAGGATTGGGGAGGCTCTTTATAATTGGAATCTCTGTGTATGTTTCTCGTTAGCAAGATCCTATTAACTTAAGTTCTTGCAATAGTGTAGATAGAATGTGGCAGACTTACTACAAATCGCAAACTGTCTAAGCTATGTGCTGAACATACACAGTGCTTGCCAAAAACCTCCCAATTAAAATAGTTGAGTCTATGCTCGGGCCTTGAAAGTGTCAATCATCTGGTGACCCGACGCTTGGCTCCGCCCACTTGTGACCTCTGGGTTGGGTCATCTGTGACGACACGTCTTTTTACTGGCGTCTGCTGTCGAAAAAAGCCGGAAGTGTATATCCTTGTTACGTAGAATTATCGGGATACCCGATACACAACTACCCACAGACTGTGTACTTGTCCGTGTACGAGTTTCTGACTTACCGAGGAAGATTTCACGCAAGTTTGGGCCTTTTTTCAACACAGGTGGGTCAAAAAATGTTGTTTGTTTTCTTACAAATGTGTCCGTTACGACTGACTGCGCGATTTTGTTATACAGCACTCTCTTCTCGTCTTTTCGTATTCTAGCATTTCTTGCGTCGTTTTTGCTGGATCATTACAACGCCAAGGCTACCCATGGGGTATGTAGACATGAACATGTCACAGAAGTGTGTGGAAATTTTCCCACATGCCCGTCTCAAAACGAGTACGCTAGCAGTGGAGTGACTCAAACTGTACATTTGGGAGCGTTCGTGCGTTAAAAATCGATATGAATTTATTTCGTGGGGTCTCATGGGGGTTTCCTGGTTAAAGATTAGATTATGCTGCAAAGAAGTTGGATAAATTGACAGGAAATTGGACTAGTATAGTTCGAAGACGCTTTGCTTTGCGTAGACGCCTTTTGTTTCATTTTCTTTTGTGCCTCGCTAGTACATTATAGACTTGTAAATTATGAAATAATAGACTTGAGTTGTGGAGTGTAATTAACTCCGCGGGTCGTCTCTTTATAGATTAGAAAACTGAAGAATTCTACCCAAGACAGAACCCAAAAAGGCGCCCGTCACTGCCATAGTGTAATGTCAATCTGTTACTGAGTGAGACTAGATGTAGGTCGGTAGGGATACATTAGGGTTTATCAGCCTACCATTTTTAAGTAGTTAAACCATTTTTTCTCTCATTTTTTATTTACCCTTCTGATGTGTAAATTTTCTCGTTGGGATCTTTTTAATCCCTTCTTTGTTTTTTCTGGCGTTGGAGGATTGGAAATGACGTCACGCTGATCGGATATATTGTAATTCAAAACACATTGTTATTTATTCTGTTGGTATTGTCGCTTTGATTATGCATGAATTTACAAGTTGCAGCTTTTGTGCGAATTGTTTAATTTTTGCTTAACTTGGGGAGGGAGTGAAAAAAATTCCAGGGGGTCAAGAAAGTGTAGAGAAATAGGCTGACGCGGGATTAATTTTTTGTAGTATAAGTACATGTACTATAACCATGGAGGGAGAATGCTACAACAAGGCGTAAATTTAATTTCAATAGTCTGAGCATGGAGGTAAAAACAACTCTTCTTTGGGCTAATTTTGTTTTCAGCCCCTATAGTAGTCATGGCTAAATGTAATATGTCCTCCTTTGATTTTGACTTTCACACAAAAATGAAAAAGATTTCGCCAGAAAGTCCCCTGCAGTTCCAGAACAAGCTGCTAGGGGGGGACAAAACCCAAACCACTTAATCCTGACAGAAAAAGCTATCTGTCACCAAAAATCCCAGACCATATCATGTTCAGGACAAAAGATGCGAAAACCGGAAATTCTGCCGCAGTATTAAGGTCATCCACCAGGAGGCCCATATTTGACCTAGACCTTTGCCGTCCTACAACCTACCAACATACCAAATATCATCACAATCCATAAAGGCGTTCTTAAGTTATGCCGACTACAAATGTACGGAAACACAGACAGACATACACACACACACACACACCAAAAACAATACTTCTATCATGGAGGCAATAGCATGTTCCTTCTGGAGGAGATACAGACCTCCCTATTCCAGATAATGTGCTCTGACAACACACAGACCCCCACATAATTGACCTAATTTACAGATAACAGGCATCAACTGGACACTGTTAACACTTTAATGTTAGTCAACTGTCAAACAATCGTTTATCTAGTCTGGAGTAAGACATTTTCGGGCCAAGATTGCTTTGATAGGTTTTCCATTTATTTATTTATAACGATTTACCACACAGAGAATGGTGCGTTCAGGAACAGTTTTTCAAGGCCACCACAAAATCATAAAACACATCGGATACCCAATCATGGATATTTATATAAAATCAGAAACAAATTAAATTCAAATAAACAATGAAATCAACTAAGTTGTTGTTGTTTATGGAATTATGATAGTTGATATTAAGATTATAAAATTATTTCTACAATGTTTGCACAAAAAGCCACGGTGAATAACTAACGTTTTCGCTACAACATAGACATTACCGGTTTCTTGGTAACTCCTATGTTGATCCTCTCACCGCCCCAGGTGGGACCTGTTTGACATGAAACAGTCGCGTGAGATAAAAGCAGTTTTCACTCGGGAGGGTGAGTCTGGGGGTTAACCCTCGTCTCACAACATTGTTATCACACTGCTTTTCGGGGCTTGAGGTGCCAAAAACTGGTCTGAAAAATAACACAAACTACGACTTAAAAGAAACAGAAACGAGTAAAAGCTGAAACATTCGGAGTATTTAATTTTTTCATCGAGAAAACGTTTAAATTATTTTGAAACGACACTACAGATCTATACGGGGCTTGTATATCTGAACCACACTCGTTTTTAAACAACCTTATCTAACGAAGGAAATAACTGTTTACGTTTTAGAGGTCTGTGTCACCCCTTTAAAATTTTATTATTGTTATTCGTTGACCTGGTTATACGATACAAAGTTACGATAAAATTGTCAAGAATCTGAAGAACTATTAATAATAACAGAATCTTTGGAAGTAATTCTAGTGTTTGCAGTATGGCTTAGGTGTTTGATTAACTACGTACACACTACATGCCATGTTTTCTTTCACCCACGAAAATTACTTTCGTTGTGACACCAAATTGAATTTTTAATGTCAAATCCCCTATCTTTCCAGACGAGGAAGGAAATTGATCATTTTAGATAAGAAAAATTACTTCCTTTTTAACCGGACATTTTCGTAAAGGATCCGACATTCCAGTTCCTGGATTTGGGGCGTGAGTTTGTGGAGGGAGGGAGGGTGTAGCTAGGGAGGGTGGGTGTGTATCGGGCAGGCGACGGGACGTGGGCGGGTATAGGGGAACAAGTTGGCGGCCTGCTGACACTAGGGACTGCCCTAATCTTCCAGCACACGTTCGGGGTGGAAGATAGCCTGTCGTGTCCAGTCGTGGTTTTGGTCGACTTTCTTCGGGGCCACATGTACAGGAACTCTTCGCCGCCGGACTCAAGTAGGCTCCCCGGTAGGTTTTGCACGACGCGAGTTCAAGTGCTGGGGCTATATTTCGTGGAAAAACGGAAAACGCCAGGTAATCTTCAACATCTAGTTCTTCACTTCAACATCTAGTTCTTACAGTGACAGTGGCACCCAGGCTATAGGCCCGAGAAGCTAGATGATGGACTCCTTTGATGTTAGGGCTGTCAATTGTTTTTAACACCCTCAGACCATTGCAGGCAAGAGCGCACCATTCTAGAATGATTCTGAGACGTGCGAAGCTTCCAACTTCTTGTGATTACTTTCCTTGGCGCCGACTTGGGGTCAAGTCAGCCATCGCGGGGTACTTAGTATTACTCATCCCTTGCGAGACATCTTAGAGTGGTCTTAGACCAACGGTGTTGACAAGATGATGTGCTGCTAAGTATATTTTATTACATTTCTAAAATAAAGGAATCAAGACGGCGGACGGTATAAACTTCCTGGATGCTTTGTCCAATAGATGACGTCACGTGCACGTAAGGTCACGTGATCTATGATGATAGGTCATGTAGTATACCTATACGGCAGTCAAAATTCCTGTGCACTTTTATACTTTATAATATTGCGTTGGAACAAAAGTTTTAGCTCTGTACTACAGTATAAAAGAAATGGATAGCCCCCCGTGGTGCTGAATTATCTGTAGTGTTATCTAACCTTGACACCGCGTTGTCTTTAATATGACCTTGATCCGACGTTACCATGGTTACGATAGTCCCAGCCATGTACGATAGACATCCGATCCTCACAGTGACCAGATTTTCTGATAGAAATAAAAGCCGTGGGGTAAAGAGGTAATGTACACGGCGCCAAAGACAACAGACAGTGTGAAACAGTACATCACCAGTGGGCTAGTGTCTATTGGGGTGGGGGGGTAGTCTCCAAGCAGACGTTGGGTGTGGCTTCGTTACTCGTGTTATAGCATAAATTTTGTACGACATTCTATAGTGTTCAAGTTTTTATCTCTTCGCCTTCCTTACATTTGCTTTAAGATTACTGAGCCATCAGCACAAAATAATGGTCAACCACACCCACTTCGAACGCAAACATGTTAATCCCATTCTTTCTCTCTTTCAACCTTTCTTTCTTTTTCATTAATCCTTTCACCCTACTTATTTACATTCCTTATTTGTTTTTATTCTTTTCCACCATTACAAATTAAGAGAGAAGGACATGGAAGGAGAGAAAATACCACCAAATAAAACCGAGATGAAATTTCACATCTGTTTCAGAGATACAGCTGTTTCCACCTGTGTAATGTAAGAACAAACGACTTTCTGACGGCTGTACCATTTCCACTTTTGGATACAAACCATACGGCCAGTTAAAACTCCAAACCTGGCGCTCTTGCACCCCTACTGGTTGTCACTAGTGGTCTCGCCCATCTTGGAGCTTTTTCAAAATTGTTTTTGGGAATTGGTTGGGTAGGAGTCCAGATGTACGAGCCAATTAAATTGTCTTGTAGCGAAATTGATCTTACTGCTGAGTGGTTGATGGTTTCTGGGGACGGGAAAAGGAATTAACTAAATGAGATTAGGACCCTGCATATTCGTCTTGTCAATAACTATACAACGAACTAGAACTGATACACAACAGCACACCAAATAAAAAAATATCGGTTTTTGAAAACAAAGTTTAACGCATTATCATTATTGTATCAAACAAGAAGCATATTGTTTGTGAAGCGTTTCTCTCGTTGAAAACCAACCAAAAATATTTTTTACCAAAAATATCGAATTTATGAACGAGGTCTCCGTATTACAAAGTCAGCAAATATTCACGAAAATTGACCCATAAGTTTATTTTAAGTCGTTGAAATTGTTATTGTATCGGCATTGAAAACATAATTCAACCCTCTCCATATCTGAAATGTGTATATCTAAAGAGATTTCTAATGTTACTAAACACATTACACTTCTTGAAATACAACATTATCGGTGATGAGAGATACAAGTCACCTGCCAAACTGTTAAAAGGAACCCTAA